TGGGGGTTGATAAATACTCCGTTAAAGGCCCCCAAATGACCATGGGTATCTTTTCCCATTTAGTGGGACATGCCATCTTTTTAACGGTTTTACAGGACGGTCATCCCATGTAAAGGACCTTCTGATCAATCCCCATGCATATACCGTGTATATATATATATACACCTTATTTGAGCGGTAAGCAACCTCCATACCTCCAAAACCCATAATTAAAGCCACCCTTGATTTGAGGGTTGGGTTCCTCTTTTGAATAATGTTAACCCCGGATCCAAGTAGAGCCCTTTTATTAATGGGGAATTCCGAGTTCCCCTTAAAAAAGTCATGATTCCCCACTAAGCTCAGGGACACGGGTTGATTCAGGTTTCAACATTACCCCAGGGGATAAAGAAGATGGCATAATACCCGGCGGGAGTTTCTCAAAACGGGATTCGGATCCCCGGATGGTTTGTATTTGAAGGGAAGCCAAAAGGACACTCACCATTTCAGGGGCCCCCGCAATGTTGAGAAACGCCCCGGTGGGTCAGTACAGAGGTGACGTCCCAAGTGTTTCTTGTCGGCTCGGGGTGTCGAGCCATAACGCCGTAGCCCCAGTTCAAGGGATTTCACCTTTCCCGTTTTGAAAATAAATGGAGTCTTCACCCAAAAACTGGTGCCCCCGACATTTATGGGTACCTCGTTTCTATCCGGTCATCGGGCAAGCGAGTAAATGGATAGCTCTGACGTGGCTCGATTCCGCAAGGGGGCCGTGGGAACTCCTTGAGGGCCGTGAGAACTTGTTGAGGACCCTTCGCTAGGCCTTAGGACGCAAATGAGCAGGTTTTGTTTTTGACGCAAAACAAGCAAACGAGCACATGGCACCTGGAATTGGCATGTTTAAACCGGTCATACAGATCTTGCATCTACAAGGGCCGTGCTCAAACATTGAAACATTCTTTACACCCTTCATTCCATTTCAAAGGGCGCCTCCAGATGTCACACATTTGATGCTACCGTGAATAGGGTGAGGCCCATGTCACTAGATTCGCGGCGTACTCATTCCACAAAGCGACTCAAAATATCTTTCGAGGGATGTGCTTCTTGGTTTGGCCGTTTCCGTTGGCAAATGCATGAGTCGGCTGCCCTTTCAGCACAGCGATGGCTTTGGTCTGTTAGAAGGGCCTGCGCCTCCATGGGTGATATTTTGAGTCTCAATCAATATGTGCTCCAGGAGCTTGCCACGTTAAACCACCAGGTGACCGCAGGTTTTAGTCCTTGTTTCCACCCAGGGTTCCACACCCATCTCCGGCTTATTCCTCAAAATGGGATTCGGATCCCCTGTCTATATTTGAAGGAAAGCCAAAAGGACACTCTTGCCATTTCAGGGGCAATTTGGTACCTGGTTTTTGCCTCACACCCATAGGTGTCTTGTTTGGTTGTTTTGGTCGGAAAATAGATGGCGATGCCTGGTTTACCCGGTGGTTGAATTCATCATCTACCAGGGACATCCATCTATGTCCACCCTAAAAGGACACCTATGCTGCCTATGCTCACACCCCCTCTTTCCGGCTCAATAGCAGCCCCAAAAGGCGGAAGGATCGCTTCCGGGCCGCGAGGCGCGGTGGGCGCAGTCGGAGATGGAGCAGCGCTTCCGGAGCGAGCGCGCGGAGCAGTTGCAGCAGGAGAAGGATGGCAGGCGATGCGGTCGAGCTTTTTTGCTCGGGACGTTGTGATTCCAGAAACAGCTGGGTGCCCTTTTTTTAACCCCTTTTTTGGTTGGGAGGGTTCTTCTACTAAAAATAGGCAAAAAAGAAGAAACAAAAAGTGGGTGCCCTTGTTCTAACCTCTCTACTGGAGGACCTAGACTCAAGAAATCAAAGGCCTTTGAAAGGAGAACATCGGGAAAGTGCCTTTTTGAGAAAATCGGGTTACGACTTCTCAGGAAGAACAGCCCGACGAGCAAACCGGATCTTAATTTTTTGGTGTTGCTGTTGATCCGTTCCCAAAATGAGAGGCGTCGATTTCTCTAGACCCAACATAAAGAAAGCCACACCCCTCGGCAGTTTCTTTCTTCTGGGCCTGGTTTCCTTGCTCGGCTCTGATCCATCGGTGCGGTTTCTGCGAGCTCCGTGTCAGTGGGTGAGTGGCGTGAGAGTGCCAAAAGTTGGCCTTTTCAATTTTCTACAGGAACCCCGGCAGATCTGTGAGTGTGAGGTAGCCATAGTCCCAGTTGTCCCATAGCAACAAAAGGCCGGCCCAAAACGTGTTCTTGGCGTCTTGTAAGCTTATGGGGTATTGCCGGTGGCCCCTTGGTTGGGCCGCTTCGCGCCTCGCCGCGCCAAGGTCCCGGCTGGCGCAGCTGCGGCCGAGGCTTCAACGCGCCCCGGCCCAACGCCTGGCTCTGGAGAGGCGCATCGCCGAGGCGTGGGTCGTGTTTGTTTTTTTTAATCGCGGGGTCGGTCATTTTTGGAGCGTCCAACGGGTGGGCCGTTTTTTTTTGTTTTTTTTTTTGGGGGGGGGGGGGTTGCGTGACACCTGTGTTTTGGAGGAATCTCCTTTCTTTGACCCCCTTGTTGGGTTCCATGTAAAATGTCGGGTCTGTTTGTTCTTGGCTTTAAAGCGAGACCAACAGGACACCAAGCATTTTGGGGCCCCCTAAAAGGACACCCCCAGTTCCCACACAGAGCCGGGCTCGGCACACCTGCTGAAGGGAACCTCTTCTTGCATCTTACCAGCCACCGCTGCCACCCGAAATTTCATGGCTGGCCTTTGGTGTAACCTTAGCCCTGCAGAATCTTTTATCCATCTACTTCTCACGTCTTTCCCGGCTTTTAAACATGTAAAGCCCACGTATGAATTGAGCTCCAGCGCACAAATTTACATGAACCCCGACAAGTCGACAAGTGATGACCCGGTCCAAGTGCGCACGGCCCAACATGCCCCCATGGCGCGCAATTCTGCTCCTCGGCTTCCGGTGAGGAGAAGAAGGCGTCCAAGGAGCGGGTGGCCAGACTACTGGCGGGGTCCCCGGCCTGTGGATGTGCAAAATCGGAGGCCTTTGGAGGGCTGAGGGCTTCAAGGCAGACCCGCCGGGTTTTTGGGGCTCCATATGTAGAGCCCGAAGCCCCCCGCTCCAGCCAGGTTCAATGGGCGTCAAAGCGGTTCGGCGCACTGGATGACGGGGAAACGTTACATGTTCGAAGCGTTTCGGCCATTGCACTGAGAAAAGATGTGAACGGGTAGCCTCATCGAGCTGGCTGAAAAAACCCTGTCGAATGGGCTTGGCATGCCCAAGCCCAGTGTCAAATGGCAGTGAGGGGATGGTCATCATCTCTTGGAGATATTTGGATAGTTTGCTGAATATCCTAAAATATCCCAAGCATGTTTGAAGGGACTCCGTTTCAGTGCATGATCAACGTTTGGCAACATCTCAGCCCTTACCCAAAGACGAGTATGGTCGGATCATGTTCACATAGTCAGGAGCTTGTTTGTTTGATGGCCACGGTCCTTATTACGAAGCCTTGGCCCTACGCTGGCGGGGCTCAGAACGGGTTTGAAATCAAGCAATCTGAGATGGTGTGGAGTTCGCCTTTTCCAATTCAACCATGGGAACCGGCGATTCCAAAAAGCGACACCGGAGCCTCCTGCCAATGTCACCTTGAGTGACAGCGATAGTAAGAGGCCAGCGGCGGGCTCCAAAAGTTTCACCAATGCCAGAAATGCATGCGGGCAACCCATTCCAGGTTTGAAAGGGAAACCATAACGGACACGAACCCATGCTTCGGGGGCTTCCTTTAAAACAGGCCTAAATGATCCTCAGACTATGGCACTAATGGGGATGTATCAGGGATTTTCTGTCCACCAACCAATTGTGAGGGTGTTCCTCCTTCATAAAAAGATGAGTTGAGCCAATCGAGCCAGATGCTCTCGCCAGAAGTCTTAAGTGTCATAAACGTGCTGTGGATTCCCAGGTGTACCCCCCGCTTCTGCATCTTAGCTTGCCCTCTTTCCATGGACACGGATGTTTTCGAATATGATGGTCTTCCAGCACCCTGTGCAAACCTGTTCGAAGAAAGTCGCATCAGGCCACCTTTGGAGCTGCTCCATCCTGGAGGCAGGGCGCTCGCGCTCTCGGGTGCACTGGCCTGTGAATTTTTTTGAGAGGACCCACGAAAGTTCGGGCTATTGGTTCCTTCTGAGGGTAGAGAGGGGGTATTTGACAACTGTGCTAGACTCTTTTTGCACTGGCTGGGTGTTGACCACTGCAGACGTTACGGACGAGTCCGTTGAGCACTGAGAAGCTGTTCGGGCTGTGCAGGCATTTCGGTCAAGCAGCAACCTTGACCTCGCCAGAGGGGGCAATATGTACCATCATTTACCGTTGCAAAGGGATACTCACCAAAATGCCAGAGGGAGATGAGGGTTACTTTCCAGCCCCCCCATGTTACACGGGAACCCAATGATGACTGGCTCATAGTTCTACATATATATATATATGTTTATATATATATACAAATGTACTATAACTATATATATATATATGTAATAGCTATGTATTGTAGACATATGATGCAATGTGGAAGGTCCCTTTCTTTGCGCTCAATCCGAGGCTGAGAATCCCTAAAACTTTGGCTTGACTTCCCGCAGTTTCTTTGCCCTGCCTGCAGGTAGCTGGCGATTTGGAGATCCGGAGATGGACCGCGCCCTGGACACCAAGCTGGGCACTCGGCGCGAGGTCTACGACCAGCCCGTGGAGCCATGGAGTTCTTCTTCGTGAGCTCTTCGCGAGCTCTTCGCGAGCGCTTCGCGAGCCGCAGTTCGGGCGTCGGGAGGGAAAGAAAAGACGCGCGCAAGGGAGGACTTGGAGCAGTTTCGGCAGTGAATCTAGTATCTTCCATTTCCATTCTTTCCAGGGTTTTTTCTTTCTAGAAGATGTCCGGAAACGGGCAAACGGCCGGAGTTTGGAATGGTTGAAAAGAATGGGGAATCAACCCCTAGAGTGAAAAACCAACTGCGTGGATTCGTAGCAACTGGTGATGTTGGTCGAGCAAACGAGGGTCGGTTCTGGATTCCCATATGCACGGTCGGCCATCGAACCTTCCCTCCCCGCGTTGTTTCCCTATGAGCTGGGACACTGAAACTGAAAATTTCATTGAAACATTCAACCAACCAACCATTCAACCAACCAACCAACCAATAAATAATAAATCAACCAATCAATTTAACAAACGAAACAATGAATCAATGAATCAAGGAATCATTGAATCATGAGTCAATGAATGAATAAATCAATGAATCAAATAATCAACTGCATCAATGCATTATTGACCAAGCGTGTCAAGTCATTCAGTCATGGGGATGGGGGCTGGGGGGGGGAGGGAGGGGAGGGGGAGGGAGCCCAAATAAGCCCTTATTAAGCCCCTAATAAGGCCTTATTTTGGGCTTATTGGGGCCCTCCCCCCCAGCCCCCAAGATTCAGGCTCTTGAAGCGCTTCCATGGTCAAGTCACCTGACCCTCAGGTCCCCAACCGGCTTGTAGGGTTTGATCCCACGTCGCATGCCGTGCGAGTACCAAGCCAACCATGGCTGAATCTTTGAGGACCCGCCCGTAAGAGGCTTGGGTCAACATATCCCATAGTCTATAGTCCATTTGGCAGGGACATGGGAAAGTCTAAATGTCCCACAAAACCCAGGTGAGTTTCGGACGGATCATAGCAACATAAATCATTTTAGGGAACCAAGACCCAGTTTCCTGTGAGGGGAGTACAGTTCGAAGGCTCCATGCAGGTGATATTTGCTTACATTTGCCAACACTTGCCACTCAAACTATCCAAATATTCATGGGGGCTTGGGGGAGGCAGCTCACGTAAGCCCCCTCCCTCAGCGCATGGCCTCTCCGACCGCGGCAATCTGAGTCTCAAGGGAAGAGGCGCCCCCACGGCAACCCGCGGCTGGCGTGCTTAGGCCGGTCGCCCACACGCTCGCGCGCGTTCGTCGCATTTTAAAAAAGAGCAAGTCTCACAGACTGCGAAAGTTTTTGGACCGCACAACTCCCGGGACCTGGATTGAGCCCCAAGCTTCCTGGAACCCACGGCTTCCCCTCGGTCCACATCCGCCCATTCCGCCCGTTCCCTCGCCCAAAGGAGGCGCCGATCCGCGGAGTTTTGGCGCCGGGGAGCTGGGCGCCATGGCCGGGAACCCCAGGTATATATATATATATATTATGTATATATATATATATATGAATGACATACAAAGAATATATATATATATACATACATATATATATATATACACATGTATGTATCTGTGTGTATATATATATATATTATACATATATATATATGTATACATATATATATATATATGTTTGCTTAATCTCGTACTCTTCACACCCGCTGCTATATATATATGTACACATATATATGTATATAGCTTGTTTTTCTACAAGAAAAAGATGTTCGGGCCATGCAGCATCTATAGAGTGGACAATAATTGGTTTTTGAAACACATATAATAGTATTGATACCCATTTCCAAACATTTTTTGTGTTGTAATTTATATAAAACAACAACTCATGTTTGATCACAATACGGGGGCGGGGGAGTCCACAAAATTGCGGTTTGCCTGTTGGTTCCTTTTGAAAACCAACAACAAAGGGGTACCCCCAAAGAAGAGACACACTGATATGCACGTATATATGCGAATTTAATTGTCCATCTTTTCACCAGATATACACAGAAGTTGTGAGTATGGATCTACATACATATGTACGTACGTACCTACATACATGCATGCATATATAGATATATTATGTATGCATACATAATACACATACATGTAGACAGTACTTTTGCTTGTGATTCTTTTTGTTTTAAGACATGAGCCTTGTTCTGCATGTGATTTGATTCATGCACGCATGCCTACTATGTGCCTGCACAATTGTTTTGAAATTTGGCGTTTCCATGATACCATATCGGGCAGTGCTTGCGACTACTTGTTGCCATAGTCCATGCCCTTCGTGCCCAGTCCTATGAAGGATTTCACAGAGGTAACTGAGGCTTCCCTATCTTTCCCGCTTTGGGTGGCTGTAAATATCTTCCGGAGGCCAAATTAATGTAGTCTTCCGGAGGCCCGAACAGCGTGCTGGCAACCGTTGAGGATTAGATAATGCCTTGGGCGTGATCTCCGCCCTTCTTTTGCTGGGGGCCTCCATCAATCGACTAGGGCGTTTCAGCGGACATTGGGCCAAATCAAGGTGAGTTTCCTTTTGCTAGAATAACGGGTGATGTTCAAAGTGAACATCTAGTGAGTCCTGCAACTCGTCGAAGGGATCTACAGAAAGCCTCGAACTCGTGGAGTTCAGGCTGTGGCCAATGATGTCACGACCAGTTCCATGAGGCTTCTTTGGTTTGAGCAAGGTTGCTCATCTCGTGGGTCCTCTTGTTTCCGCCATGATACGTCATATTTGACCGCCCGCTCCTTTTGGGATACCGACAAAAACTTGTATACGGCACGGGATTTCCCATGTATAAAAGTCGGTTTCCCGGTGCTCTGGACATTCAAAAGCTGCAGTTCAGATCCAGAAAACAAGCAGCTTGAATGGAAGATGTGTTACGCAAACCATCGCCTCTAAGTCTTCGACTAGGGTGCCTTCGTTCGGGTGTTTGTGGGGGTATGATTGCCACCAATGGAGGTTGGGCTAAGCAAGCTAGCCTAACACAGACAGCTTTGCAATTAAATGAGTTCCCGTTTGTTTTCTCTTTGGCCAAAGAGCAACCGGGGGCTCTGTTGGCCAGCAAAGGCTGATTTGTTTGTTTCTGTCATTTGCTTTCCCATTACAGCTCGGCCCGTTTTGGAGCCACCAGTGGTTTTCAATTTAGTCTATCTTTGGTTTTTCATTGTTTTCACTTTGTTGTTCCCTTGGTTTCTTCTTTCTTCTTCTGTTTTCCTCGGTTCCCTCGATTTCCCTCTCGCCATTGCAGCCTGGCTTCCCTTGGTTTAAGGTAAGGGACTGACTCACCGCGGCTTCAGGATTCCATGCAGCTGTACCTCGGGGAGTTCCGGGACCTCGCCAAGAGGCCCCGGTCCTTCCTCACGCAGGCGGGACAGCCATGGGGAGGTAGGGGTCAGGTTGGTGGGGGAGGTAAGGGTCAGTTTCCTTTTGGTTTCCCTTGAAAACCAACCAAAAAGGGGTACCCATATATGACTGGGTACATGTTGATGCTGAGGTTTTCACATGTCCAGCTGAATTGGGGATCCTCTTGTGAGTGGCTGTTGTATTTGGATGTCGTGTTTTTTTGGGAACTCTGTCTGAGATGGAAGCTGGAAGCAGCTACTAGACGTGAGGTGCGAAGGGTCCAACCGGCCCATTCTGGCATAGTAGCCAGTCCGATGAAACCTATGACGACCCGAAGAGTAAGGGTGACCCCAAATCAATCAGTACCAACCAGCTTCTTAATATGGGGGTGGTTTTTTAGGCCCCTCCAAAAGTGATGTTCATCCCCCTAACAACCAGGAAAAACAAAAACAGAAAACCCCCCTTATAAATAAGCAGGCGGGTGGGGCTAAAAAATATTGGGTCCAACCATCCCACGCCTGAAAAAAACCGGGTAAACCGCCTGCCACGCACTCTCGCGCTCTTGCGCTCTTGCGCTCTCTCGCTCTCAGGTGCTGAACCTGGGCTGCATCGTCTTCTCCGCGCTGATGCTGTGGAAGGGCCTCATGGTGGTCACCAAAAGCGAAAGCCCCGTGGCCCCTTTGGCCGCAGAGAGAGACTTCGGAGAAGTCGGCCCGCAGGGACAGGGGGTTTGTTTGGGAGGTCTGGGACCTGCGCGGAATTTTTCCGGCGCTGGGGATGGGAAGGAAAAACGCGCGGGAGGTGAAATGGCGCGCAGAGACCGTGTTACCTGCGCGGAATTTCCGGCGCTCGGGCCGGGAAGAAACACACAAATGCTTGTCACCTGATGTGGACAGATGTGGTCATTTCAAGCTGCTAGGTTGTCCAATTTTCGGTACCCTTTTTTTCCGGGGTCCTCCAGGCTGTTCGCTGGGACTCCCGGCTGCGCGTTGGAAATGGAGTATGCCATACTTTGGTTCCCCAAGAAGGGCGATGGATTAGGGTTGGCTTTTGAGCAGGTCAAGTGGTGTGTGACCGTTCAGGTGGGCACAAAACCAGGGCCTCGCCTTTGGGGAAACATATGCAAACATGTTTTTTTTTGCGCTCTAGGCAGACCTGGACACCACCCAATCTTTGGGATTCCCATTTAGATCGGGGAGAGACCCATGATGTGCCGACATAACATTCTCTGGGCATGAATCACATCAAAACACCAAAATTCCTGGTGTCCCTAACGGGGACCCCGAAACGGCACCGCAAAAACCGGAGTTTCCCGCCTCAAAGCACACGAATGAATGCCTTTGAGCCCGGGCCGGGGACAATTCGCCCAAAGCGGTTCAGATGTGACCTGTTGGTTTCCCCAATGGCCCCCACAGGTGGCCGACCTTTTGACCTTGTGGTTGCCCCTTGGTCCATTTTTAGTCATGGCTTCAAAAGGTGATCACCCTTCACTATTTCTGGGCCCAAGGGGCAGAGGTTTGAACCGGCCCGATGTTTCGACCAAACGCCACCTTTTCTTGCACCTGAAAATGAGAAATATAGACTCACCCCAAGAAAACCACCATCCATCCCATCATTTCCCCCCTTTTTTTCTCTCTTTTGTTTTCTTCTTCTAGTTTTGTTTTCTTTTTATTATTATCCGAATCCAACGCCGGTGAATTCCTTCCCACCCGGGCGACCGATGGCGACCGATCGCGAGCGTAGGTCGTGGTGCTCAGCGGGAGCATGGAGCCGGGGCTTCAGAGAGGTGACATCCTGCGGCTCGGCGAAGGGTCGTAAGCGTCCGGGCGGTCCGGGCAGTCCGGGCGGTCCGGGCTAGAGCGGAGGGGACGGACCAAGGGGAGCATTTTTTGGGGCCATGGGGGGTGGTGTCTCAATTTTTTGATGGGGTTGTTTCAAAAAGAAACGAAAAGGCACATTGTCTACCTGGAGAAATTGGTCTGCAATTACCTAGTAAACCAAGTTATTTGGTCGTAATCATGATGCTTCTAATTCTGTAGGCCCAAGTTTTACATTGATTTTAAGAGTAGAAAAGCCAGATTGGAGGCCAGATTGCAGGAGGGCAGTATTTTAGTATTTCCAAGTACTGAGTCGTTTCAACTGCGACAGCTGGGTCCATCCGCCAATCCTTGGTTTGTGGGAAGGTTTCTGGGGTGCGTGTTGTTGCGTTTCATTTTCGAACCGCGTTGGGTTGTTTTTTCAGATGAGCCATGCATTTTAATACGGAAACTTGTCCAGAGTGGTTGGTGGACATAGATCACCGCCTAAATAAAATGCACCAAAGGGTCCCTAAGTAAAATTCAGACCCAGATGAACTATGGTTGTAAACCGCACACCGCGGGAACGTTTAGCCCAGTATCCTAGTAATTGGTTAGTTGCCTAGTCTGTTTGCATCCCTTGTCACGGGAGCTATTCTAGCTCTTGTTTAGGAACGTCTTCTGAGAATGAAATTGGGGGTGGAGGAGGTTTGTGGCTGTTTTCGAGCTTATTTTGAGTGGTGATGCTTGTACTGCTTGCGAGTTGCAATGCTGGCAGGTGATGTTGGCCCTTCCGCACCGAGCTGCGTGATGTATTCCCTGAAAGTCCTCGACCGTTTTTTAAATGGTCTATTCGGAACGACCGTTTTTGGCCAGTAACAGCCGTTTTTGGCCAGTAGAAACCGTCTTTCTGTAAAGCACCGTAATAAATACCGCCTTTGGAATCCCAGGGTATGTGTTTCACCAAATTCGCCTTTCGTAGGGAAAACTCAGATGGAATGTGCCACCCCAACAAGATGCCCCACTCTCCAGGAACAAAGATGGCTCACAGGCAGGTTCAGCACTCCCAGCAATGGCACACGGACAACCTTTCAGTTGCCATGTTCCCGAGTGGCCATTTTTTGTGTCCAAGTTGGCCAAACACCCGTGGTGGGGTGTGTGGGGTGTGTGGGGTGTGTGTGTGTGTGTCCCTTTTCCCAAGTTGGCGGTGGGTCAAAATGATGTACCCAAACTGGCTTGCCCTGCCAAATGGAACCAAGCACTAAAACCAGTGATCCATATCCTGGTTGTGAAAAAATGGAGCCATACCCAGTTCTTGGAAAAGGACAGGACGTGAGGTTCCCGCTGGCGCCGTGCTCAGGTTTCTCACGCTCTTCTCCGAGCCGCCGAGCGCCCCAGAGGTGCTCGTTGATGCTTGAGGCTGTCACAAGGCGACAGATCACGGCAGTTGGCAGTTTCCCGATGGCTTCCTTTCAGAACCCGCCCCAGAGGCTAGTTGATGCTTGAGGCTGTCAGAAAGGGTCGGTTTCCTTCCATGTCAATGTCGGCGAATCCTGACTTCCCTGCTCGTTCTTGCGCTTAGATCACTTCTTGCGCTAGGCTTTGCTGAAGTTTGGGAAAGCTCATTCGAAGCTTTGCCATAAGCGCAGCACCAATTCGGGCCAATTCGAGCCAGTTGGGTTGTGGGGGAACCACCCCCGGGGTTTGCCTGAGGTTCAAGCCTGGCGATGTCGTGGTTTTCCAGATTGAGGGCAGGGCTCGGACGCCCAGCGCTGAACCAAGTTGACGTCAAATGGTTGTGGGTCAAGAATATGTACCCAACATGGCTTGCGCTGGTAAACGGGAACCAGAACTAAAATCTGCGGCCCCCTGGTGTTTAATTGTATTCCATACACAAATGAGAGGGGAAGTCACTTGAAACTTAGGTGAACATCCAGGTCGCCACAGTGAGTGGATTCGTTTGTCCAGCTTGGTGAACCACTCGCAACTTCAGAGCCTCTGGCTCATTCCGCCAACCTCTGCTTCGGCCCCCATTTCCGAAAGAACTGCGCATTGTTGTTGTGCTGAAAGAATCATGCAATGACTCTCTTGGACATATTGATTGAGCAGCATGTGAGATGCACGTGTGGCAGAAGCTCAGCCCGAGACCTAGCCTACCCATGTTCGTCTGATCGAGAAGGGGGATTCTGTTGGTGAATCACGTGCAATTTAGCAGAAATCACTCAGAGGCAAGTGAAGGGAAGGGGTTTTGGACATCAAACGTCACTGAGGACTTGATCGGCACAACCGTCCAACCAACCCGCCAACCGACCAGCCAACCAACCAAACAAGGCAAGGCAAGGCAAGGCAAGGCAAGTCAAGTCAAGGCAAGGCAAGGCAAGGCAAGCAGGCAGGCAAGCAAGCAAGCAACCGAGCAAGCAAGCAGCCAGCCAGCCAACCGACCGACCAACTGACCGATGGACCAACCAACCAGCGGATCGACCGACCGACCAACCAGTCAACCAGAGCAGTCCCAAGTTTGCACACCCATGCACCTCTGTGAATGCAGACTTGCATGTTTCCACCTCGACGGGAGTGAACCCGAGCACGCACAGACTTGTGACTTGTGCATCGATGGGTGGGGTCTGACAAAAACTTCATGATGATTTAAGCGCAGGCACAGGCAACTCTTAGTCCTCCGGTCACTCTTTCCACTTTCTACTGACCCCAGGCAAGAACAATTTCAAGGGGCCAAACAAGACGAAAGACAAGCCCCATATTTTGCCAATTCGGAGCAGACATACACAAGAGGTCCCTTTGGTGTTCAGGTGCTCACATGGGATTCTCAGATGTTGAGTGTCACCACCTTTCCATTTGCGGAAACAAAAACAAACAGCTAGCCCTTGATACATGAACCACATGGAACCACTGGAGGGTCAGTGTCCAGACTCTTGCTTCGGCGTTTTGCCCAGGACATACCCATTGTGCATAGAATGCTGAATGTGCACGAGAAAGCAGCGGGGACCTCAGGTTTTCATGACTTACCTGCTTACTGTTCAACGGAGAACCGGCAGGCGACCCAAGGCCAAAGTGGGACTCGTCAATTTGGACGAAAAATCAGGTTGATTGGCGACATGAGACTATTCATGTCATTTTGTAGAGATCCCGGCATGCGCGCTTCTTTGGCAATGGGGTGTTGCTGCGGAAGTGTTTCTGCCTTTTTCTAACAATCATGCCTTCTATGTTTGTTTGAGGAAGGGAACCAGGAATATCAGTGGCAATTGTGGTCGCGACCGTGGGTCTTGAGCACATTAGAGGATGGAGACTCCAGGAGGTTTGATGTCATGGCGAGGGGCTATGCATCGAACCTGTCCGCGGTAGTTAGTAGTGGTTCGGTACTGAAATCTCTGTTGCATGTTTGAACAAGTTGCGAGCAAGGATGGAAAGCTCAACATGCTCACAAAGGGCGACAACAACCAGGCAGGCATATGGCCGACGAATCGCCGCAGTGGGCGTGCATGCTGTGCTTTGAGGTGTGTCCGTGCGTCGTGCTCTGGGACTCCAAATCCTGAACCGTGGCGGTTTACCAGGAATCGTTTCTTTCTCGCAGGTCCCGTCTAGATTGCGTATGTTTCGGGCGTTTGCAGCGGTTAGTCTTTGGAATGGGTTGCCAACCAGCACCATGTGAATACGTTTTGCATGGCCATATCCCACCCATTGCCACCGATCACGCCCGTTTGGCCGCAGGTAGATGACAGAGGGCTGTATGCTGCAAGGCTGGGCAAACTAGTGCGATGTTCGGCCGAGTTAGAAATTGGTTGGCTACTGATTTGGGTGTTAACCCACTGACAAAGGTGTTAACTGCACTTAGGCTTCATTTTGTTAAAACTAGCAGCAAAAGATGGACAGAATTTGGCTTACTTCTCGACCTTGAAACCCGGTACGTTTCACTGAGCGCTGTTTCAGACCATTTGTCTTGCTGGTACGATAGGTAGGGAATGACCGAGTCCGGGTGGTGGGAAACCTAGGGATTTCCTTAAGGAAGCTGCAAGCTGCTGAGAACAAGCAAGTTGTATGGGCTTGTGGACGTGTCCATCAAGCTTTGGTCAACTGCCGCCGCAGCTTGGGACTGTGTCTTGACCATAGGTGTCCTTTTTGGTTGTTTTGGTAAGAAATTGGATGGCGAGTCTTGGTTTACTTGGTGGTTGAATTTCATCTACCAGGGAAATCCATCTATTTCAACCTAAAAGGACACCTATGGTCAAGAGCCGGTTCGATCGGTGCAGGCAGCTTTTCCTCAGCAGAAAGGAGATCATGGGCAGAGCCTCATGCCTGCACGAGACGGTTTTTGATTGCCTCCGATGATTTGAGCGTTGCGCCAAAATTCGAATGAAGTAGGAACCTACCGCGCAAGGTCTGAAGAAACTGACAGCACAAGATGGGATTGTTCACTTGCATGTCCACAACTGAGAGATATCTATGTTACTTGCATTGTGCGTGTGTGCACCAATTAGATAGTGGCTCAGATATGTGTGTGTGTGTGGTGTTGTGAGCAAATGACCAACTTGCGAGACAAGAGCCGTTTTTGACACGTTCGCCTCGTCGAAATCAGCGGTGGATGCGTGGCCAAAAGCAACTACAGCTGGGAGCGAAATCACATGGCATTTGCTCTCCCCCATCTTGGTTTAGTCATTTTCTTTTACCCATCAACCGTTTTTGTTTCTTCCTCTCAATTTGCTTTCACCTGCAGGAAACTCCCCTAACTTACGTCAACCGGGAAGGAAGTTCCATCCCGGAAACTGGGCTGTGGCCTGGCCAGCCCGAGGCACAGGCCTACCTGCCTTATGTGGGGATGGTCACCATCTGGCCGGGCGCACGGATTTTGATCCATTCGATCGGCTTCCTCCAGCTTGAGCATCAAATAGATTCCTGGTTTGAGGTGCCCCACCAGGTCACAGTGCCCTTCAGTTCGTGTGGGTTTTTTCAGATTTGATCCGGGTAGGGTGTTTTTATCGCCTCTTTCGGTGTTTCTGTGGTCAGGAGTGCTTTTCAGGATGGTTTGGGTGTTTTGGGGGTCTGCCGGGTGTTTCTGGTGTTTGTTTTCGGCTTCCCGGTCCCTTAGATGTGATCCATTCCGCGCGCCACGAACCAGGAAAGGGGGAAGTTCTGCATTTTGCTCGCATGGTCACTGGGCAACTACAGCTTAGTTTGAGACGTCCCAGTCCTTGCGCTGCTCAACCGTTCGTGGTTACATTGAAATCTAGCTCCCCCGGTAGTGCCCTTTCTCACCCTTTTTTGGTTGGGAGGGTTCCAGACGAAAATTGGTACCCTTATTCTAACCTCTCTACTGGAGGACCTAGAAATGGATCAGCCAGATGTTGTGTTTCAGCTCCAAGGCTCAGAAAAGGATGTATCACATTGAAAGGGAGAGAACAGAAGATGGTGGCAAACATGGCTGAAAGCAAGGAAGCTTCCTTGTCAGTGGTTTTCATTCTACTTGATGTCCATGGAAGTATGTGCGCATCAAGGTCCAAGGTTTGTTGATCGTTGTCCGCCTGCTCTCGGCTTTTCTTGCGCATGGCCCTCATGGGTGGTGTCTTGAGCGGCCTGCCGCTTGCGTGCAGAATTCAGGCCTTGCATTTGCGCGTGAACCAACTCCAGCATGCTTGAAGATTTCCCTGCCGCAACTGTCTATGAAGTGGTATCAGATCCCTTCTTCTTGCCATGTTCTTGCTGTTTGGCGCAGCCCATCCTTACAGAAGCCTTTTGACGGAAACAACACGTGTTACTACTTGCAAGCAGTATCATACACTACCTTCTTCAGTTCTTTGTTCAATTTAGATTCATCCTCTGATTTCCCTTTCCCAGTGCTTGACTTGCTCGGCACGTGTCGCAGGTTGAATGACTACCCCTGGCTGAAGTATGTGCTCATCGGTTCAATGGGCTTCTTCGTCCCTCGCTTGCAAAGCGCTGGGTGCAGTGTGCCCCCAAGGCTTTGAGGGGCCAAGGCATGGTGCCCAACGGCAGAAGTGCCATTTTGGTTGGTTTTGCTTGCGTGTTGCTTTCTAGATGTCCATTGGTGCAAGCATGTTGCTTATTTCCAGCTAGTGTCTAGGGGTAAACAAGACAATATTGTTTTGCACCAGTTCCAGTTTTCCTACAGGTGCCATGTGCAGAGCAGACACGGATGGCCAGACGGTTGACCCTGAGCCTTTTTGCCATCCAGAAAGCCCCAAAGCGCGCACACACACACACAGTTCTCACAGATAGTGGTCAAGCCAATTGATGATTGTTTTCTTGAGGTCAAGGGTGTGTCTCCTTGTACGCGTTTGGGAAGCATGTCTTCTTCATTTGCAAGAGTTGTCCGGGCATGAGACTCCCCTATTTGCTGCAGATGAGTTTTTGGGACTTTGTTTGTCCAACCCCCAAGCCGTCGTTTGGATTGCTGGGAACTGGCGATTTGAACCAATGGTTCTTGAGGGTAAATGCGAAACCACTTCCTAACCTCCAAACCACCAAAGCAAGGGTTCAAACAAAAGGTTGGGGGTCGGAAAAAAAAAGCTGGGCCCGCACCTGAGTTGCTGGAAAAAATCCAGACTGACTCTTGGAGCTTTCAACATGACTGGAAAGAATCTGCAATGAACAGGAACCATGCAGGGTTTCACAAAGTACGGGGGCGTAGCTTTCTTGAGGGTACCTCCTGTTTTCCTTGGTTCAAAGGGAAATCAGAACGGAAACCCATTTTGGGGGCTCCCCTATTTTGATACATCAGTCACATGGCGCGTCAATCTTTGCGCAACCTCTGACATGTGCTTACCTTTGAGGTGATGCAAACACGCCTAGATGAATCTGATGGATCTCCTTCCCCAGAACTAGCTGCCCTTTTTTGCATTTTTCCGCTTTTTTGGGCCCCCTTTGTTTTCCAACCAGGCAACAAATATACAGTTTTCTGCTGGGGTCCGAGTTCCAAGCACCTACGAGGCAGCTAAGACTCCATGGGATGAATCCCGGCTGAAATTCGTTTCCCCGCGTGAAACCCACGGCTGCTCCTCGCGTATTTCAGGATGGGTCCTTCAAGTCACCCGAAAACATCCCCTAGTTTTCTGAACCAGGACACTGCCTTGGTTCCACTCCTTCCTTTGCGCTTTGAAATCTGGACATGGAATAGCGGCCGCACTCAGTTGTCCTTTCGTGTGCTCGTGTCACTTGTTCACATTGATTTCTCGTCAAGAAGAAGACCCAAGAAGGTGCCAGGCCTGATGGGTTCAACTTGCGATCGGTGCGATGGGGAATGAGACAGGGAATGAACCCAGCAAAGGAAACCGCCCTGGTTTTTCTTGGGGTGGAAACCACCATGCAGTTGATGGTTTTTTTCTTCTGGTCATTCCAATTCTCATTCCCTACCTGTCGCACCGAAGGCAAGTCGAGCCTTGTGCGGGCGGAGTTTCTCTTCGTGTCTCTCTGTTGGATGTAGCTTTGGGGGGTGGTTTATCAACCATAGGGTTTCATCCATCGGTGGATTTTGTACATCAGACCTCTACACGGGATGACCATTGGTTGGAAAACCACTCGAAAGATGATACTGGAAAGCCACCCATGGTCAGTTTTGGGACCGAACGGGGAGGGGGCAGGAGTTGCCCATGCCTGAGGTGATCATTGGGCGAGAGTGACCGAGTTTCGCAAGCCATTCGAGGCCTTGCATGGAATGGCCAGACCGGACTTAGAGCAAAAGGTCCGTTGATTTGAGGTGCATACGGGTTCGGTTTTGGGTAGTTTAGGGTTGGCTGGGTTGGTTTTAGGGTGTGTTTTTCGAGGGTGCCCGTTTCAACTTGCTTGAAAGATGCTGAAAGGGAAGCCAATAGGAACACCACCCCGCTCTTTTGACACATACCCCCGGTTCATGTGGAGGCTTACCTTTTTGGCGGCTACATAGGATTTGCCTAGGGGCGAGATCAAGTGAGGCTAAACCAAAACATCGACCTTTTTTGTGGTGGGCTCTTGTGGCAGATGTTGCATTTGTTAAACGGAAGGATTGGCGTTTTGCAGGATGATTTGTGTAAAGGTAGCCCTCTTGATTTTGTATGATCCTCCGGTTTCTTTCCCATGACATGTTGGCACACCCTGGGATTCGACCCAATTGATTTTGGGAAACTACTCACTACTCATTCTGGGTTTTCAGTTAAAGCTTAGGTTGGGTCATTTGCCTATAGCAATACAATCATATGGCTGTGAGAGTGTTGCGGAACCTCTCGAAAACTGGTCAGTCATAAATTTGCATATTCAGGGAGTCCACCAAAGTTTCCAGGTAAAAGCCACATCCTATACATGGGATCACCATTAGGGAAGCCACAAGAGTGATTGCTTTCACCACTCATGGGGAGAAGTTACCCATGGTCATGTTGGGGCCTTTCACGGAATGTGGATCAACCCTGTGGGTATTTCCTGCCCTGAAACGGGCTCCCAGACTGAATGATTGGAACATGAGCAGCGACAAGTCGCTTGGCCGACAAGGGCGCTGGAAGGGCTTGAGGCATGAGACTCCGGAATCTGACGCGGTGCCATGGCGCCCTTTTGCTGAAAGGCTGAAGGTGGTAACTGGCTCTTCCCCAGAATTCGCCCCCCTCTTGGTTTTTGTTTTGCTTTTTGGGGTCCCTGATTGTTCTCCGCGAAAAAAGGCACAAGATATACGTAGGTTTTGTTTTATTGCTGGGGTCCTAATTCCATCCAAGGCGGCTGTGGCTCAAAGCAGCTTGGTACATGGAGCCAAAAGACGAAAACCGTGACCCTATGTCTTTAATTTTGAGCCTCGCCCAATGGTCCCCAACCAGCAGGCTGCTCCCATGTATCTATTTTTTGAGGGGTGTCCTTTCAAAACAACTACAAGAAGGCAGCCCTTGTCCCATGGATTGTTCTGGAAGGTGGTGCCTGCTTGCAGACCGCACCACAGATTCCGCAAACAGAACGAGAATCGGAAGTCCGGGCAAGGACCGGTTCAACGGGTTCTAACAAGCGGGCTCGAGCTTGGAACAGAAAAATCATGTGCCATGTGCCTCTCCGAAAGGAGCCCAGTAGTTAGAACCCATTCAACAGGTCAAAGGAAGGGAGCAGTGAGAGCGAGCTGCCAAACCTTTCCATAGTTGGGCAGCCCCAGTCGCTGGTTTTATTTTCTTGTTACGTATCAAAAGCCAGGCCCCCCCCCTCCCCCGTTGAGTGGTTGCTTTAATGATGCCGCTACACTGGCTATTTGATGGATCGTGGCTTGGTAACTGAGCTTTGTTCAGGATAGGGTTGTCATGGAACTGACGAGGTTGGAAGGGATGTAGGGCAAAGTTGTTTTTTGTCGAGTATTGGGTTGTATTGTTCGCAACTTGGAACTGCCGAAAAGCATGGCATTTGTGAGTCCTTACAATAGTTGACAGCTTTAGATTGTTGTCTCGTGCTGGCTTATCCAGGCTTGTTTCAGCACTTCTAAACTTATGGGTGTTCTTTTGGGTGTGATTTTTTGGGGAGCCCACAATGGTGGTTTTCCTCCTGGTTTTCCTTGAACTCACGCAAACAGTCGGTACCCTCACAAGAAGACACACCCGTTTGCCTCACAAGATGAACCATGACTACCTTGTGTTCATGGTCCGTTCAACTGTCACTTCGCGAAACCGAGGGGACTGCCCAGCCCAGAGCGCACGGTCTCACTGGGTATGGCGCGCCAGCGAGCCGTGCAACTGGAGAAATGCGATGCGACAGCCGCGGCGAGAGAGTCCTTGTCGAGTGAGAAATGCCCGCGTGGCAGTGGCCTAAAGCGAAACGAACACCAATCCTGCCACCAACTTACATGGAAGTGCAAGAAGGCCCTTTCCAAGAGGAAAGTCGTCTTTCTACAGGGGTCTGTGCACAAACCCATATTAGCTGGTGGGAGGGAACACCCACAAAGCCAGTCCATCACGCGAGGCCTCCAGCACGAGCTTTGGGCGGCTGGCTGATGGCAAATGCGTCGCACAGGCCCCGTAGGGGAAGTGGCTCGAAGAGGCAGGGCGTGTTCCGCAAGGACATCCACCGAGCCCAGCCTACGGTGTTGAAGGCGGTTGCGGAGAGAAAGGCCACATCAGCACTTGGCGCCTGAGTGCGGTGTAACAAAAAAACTATCATATATCCGGCGGCGGTTTCAAAGCATGCAGGAAATGTCAAACGATGTGGCCCAGACATGGGACGAACCCGCAGCCACAGTGCAAACAGAGATGCAAAGGAAGTGTACTGCACATATGCCTCCCCGCCGATCAACAGTGGGCGTTGTGAAGCATGGTGAACCAAGAAGACTGCTCAAAAAAGCCACAGGAAAACAAGTAGCGGCGTGGCGCACGCCGTGCACCTGAATCCCGACCACATTGCAAGGACTGCCCAAGGAATGAAGTGTACTCGGCTGCCCTTCACTTGGCGGCATGGCAGTCAGGACGGAGGGCTGACCGTCCAGCGCGTGCTCACAAGCAACAGCATAGGTCGAAAGCCCAATGAGCCCGTAGCTTGGGAGTTCAACCTTTTCTACTTGGATATCGGTGTTGATCAATATTCCTGGCCCCAAATGACGAGAAATTGTCCCCATTTGGTGGGACATATCATCTTTTTATAATTAGTGTCTTTTAGTGGCTTTCCTCAATGGTCATCCACCCTTGATCAGCCTCATATTGGGGTGGTGGGGGAGCCTGGATCTTGGTCCCTCTACTTTGACACCTTGGCCATAGTAAGTGAGCCACTTGATAGCCTCATAGGGTGAACTCCAGTAACTTACCTGTAACGCCGCGGAGGGAGGTGGGGCTTCCCGGGCTCGACGTGGACCTCGGGCTGTCGATGGGGTAGGAGCCTGGCGAGCCACCGAGTATTTAGTCGCAGTTGGAAGTCACGACCCTTAGGTTTTCAAGCCGCTAGCCCGCCTTGTCGTCCAAGAGAAACGCCAGGAATGCACGAGATCTTGAGGCGTAGGGAGAACCCCTGGTTGCCAAGATGCTTTCACCGACAGAGTTGGTCGTCGACCGTAAGTTGAAGTTGGTCAGGGGAATCAGCAGGCTCACCCGAGGCCCTACCCCCTTGATGACTTTTTCAATCTGCGTCCCATGCGGTTTTGACATTGCAGTCATGCATGACTTCCTTGTGTGGGGTTCTGGACACTTCTTTCCATTTCGCACCCAGAAAATGAACGAGCTAAGGAACCAAGGAACCCTGACTAATTTGCCACTTTCTGTGATACCAAGGCAGCTTCCTTTGAAGCGCGAAAGTAGTTGTATAAAAGGTGATGTCCCACAACCATGACAACAACCATGACAACATGATAAAGAGTAATCCTGATGTCCCAAAACCATCAGAACCAGGACACCACTGCCAAAAAAAGAGGCCCACGAACTCATCCCTTTCCGCATGCGGCCGGCGTGGCTTTTGGCTCTCAGCGGTTCCACCTGGTGTCCAATTGGGCCCTCGAGCCCCTTCGGCCGAGTTTGCGACGCGTTTTTCGACGGGCGACTGTTCCCTTCACCGAGGTCTCCCATGGGGTGGCGCGTTGTTTTGTTCTCCACGGGACCCCTCCCCATGTGGTTGTCCTTTTGTTTTCCCTTTAAAACCAACCAAAAGGGGGTACTGTATACCGTCATACCTTCAAAAAAGGACAACCCCATTCCTCACATTTCAAAAGGGATGACTTTGATGGTCGAACCCTGTGGGTTTGGACCATTTCAGTGGTCAACCCAAGGTCCAGCATTTGGGTGTGTCTTTAAAAATGGACCACCAGACATGGCTTCAGAAATCACTTGGTTTCCATTTAAACCAACCACACAAAGGGGTACCCTGAAAAAGAGCCGCGCCCATTTCGTTTTCAGGACAAAAGCACGGTGAATTTGGAGGGGGCTGTGCTCTCATTCTGTGGCATTTACACATAGTTCTCCTTGAAACATCCAACATATCCGATATCCAACCATTTCACCTCTTCCATGAAGAGGAAATCGTTTGTCAAGGTGTGTGCAAGGAGCCACTGCATTGTTTGAGGCCATTCGGATCTGAAAAGTAGATCCCTGGTAAAAATGAAGGCTGGGGGGGAGGGGGGGGGGGAGGGAGCCCCTTGAAGCCCCTATCAAGCCCTTAACAAGGCCTTATGGGCTCCCTCCCCCTCCCCTCCCTCCCCCCCAACCCCCATGATAAGAATTGGGAAGGTACAGCTTGGCCTAGTATGTTGGTTTTCACCAACATCGTTCCGCCCCATGATTCTCAAGACCACAGCAGCGCTAAAAACCCTTTTGGGGGTATCTTTTTTGGGGGGTCCCCCCAAAATGGTGGTTTTCCTTTTGGTTTCCCTTTAGAACCAAGCAACAAAGGGTACCCTCACAAAAAGACAGACCCTTCTGTTTAGGTTTAGTAAAGGGCTCGCGTAAGCCGCCTTTGTGTGTGGAAAAAGCGTTGGCATACACAACTTGTTATAGCAGAAGAGTCGATCGGTATTTTAGCATCGCTCAGCCAGACTGCGCCGATGTTTTGTTTTTTTGCCCTTTGGGTTTCCCTTTGGTCATTTTGCTTGGATGTTAGGACTTTAACTTTTTACCAACCAATGGGTTTCCATTAAACCACTAAAAGCTACACTTTTAGCAGGGGAGCAGAAAGCAACCGAGTTCCTTCATTGTTCCTTTTAAGCAGCAATCGAGTTGCCGGTCTGTGGCGTTTTGAGGCCACCTTTCACCACATTGGGAAGTTTTGGGCGAGGCCCTTGAGTGAGCAACCTGTTCCAAGGGGGGTCTTTTCGCCCTTGATTTCGTGGGAAAAATGCTCGAACTTCCTCGTAGCGGAGCCTTTTCCTTTGTGAGCGGGTCGCGCATTTTCTCACCCCAGAGGCGGCAAAACCCTCAGCTGGGAGGTAGATATCTGGATTGCCATCGAGCCCAGCCTGGCGGTTTGGAGCGAGCCCGCCGGTTTGGATGTGAAGTCCCTGGACTTGCAGATGGGTCATCGCTTCCCCCTAGGAATGAATGACCCCAACTAATAAAAAGATGGAAATCCGGGGCCCGGGACCAGATTTTTCCACTCCGCACAATTGATTTTTGATTGCGCCAATACTAGACCAATACTAAAGTCTTGGAATCCTTATTGGGGGGCACTTTTAACAAGCTTCCAGCCCCACTTTAATTATTGGGGTGTCCCTCAAAAGAAAACATGTCCCCAATAGCTGTCTGTCTCTCGCATGTGCTGGCTACCTGACCTGCCTGGCTGCACCCCAAAATATTTGTTTTAATTGGGTCCTTTATTGGGGTGGTGTCCCTCAAAAGAAAACATGTCCCCACAAGCTGTCTAGCTGCGACTGTGGCTAGCTCGTCAAATCAAATTACATGTGCCCTGTTTGGTTTAACTATGTGCCCTGCACGGCTTAAACAAATCCTGATTGAACATGTATGCGAGCTGACTCGACAAATCACCAGATCGGTTGTTTTTGAACACATTGGGCTGCGCAACATGGTCGCATTCCCTTGCTTTCCCTTGAACCAACGCATCAAGGGCACTCTTGGCACTCCAACTGCTGAGGAGGGGATGAGCGGCAGGACAATGGCCGCAACTCACCGGGGTTCGAAGAAGGAGTTTCTCTTCTTGCCGTGTTTGAAAAGAATGATCAGAAGCGAACCACATGGAGGGGGGCTAGTATTTAATCCGTACTATGGCCCGCAAAAGAGTTTAGAACGCTGATTACTGTCCTAAATGATGCGGGCAGCAAGACCTGCAAGGCGAGCCTGCCCACTGATACCGTGAATCATTCTTTTTCAGAAACAACTTGATAATCTATGGATTTCGGAAATTGTGTGAAGATAACGGTGAAAAACAGATATCAATGGTCAGAGAAAGTTGTCTTAGGCCTTGTTCCCCACCGCGCATGGGAAGAAACAGGTGCTATGATGTACCCAACGCACATGGGTCTGTTTTGGGGAACCCCCAAAATGGGGGTTTTGTTCTTGGTGTCCCTTTAGGAGGGCCACGAAAAGGGGGAAACATGAAAACATAAATCTCCCGCATGGAGATTCTTGAGACCATCAGCTGTGACAGAACTTGTTTGGCTTTCCAAGCTAGCCACATGCAAAAGAGAGGAGGATTGACCCCAGATTTATGTTCCGGTCACTGAATCGAAGCAACTTTCACAAGCCATTCTGAATGATTCCCAGGCGATGCAGCGATTTTTTGGTTCCACTAGTTACCGCTGTATAAACGCCAGGTGAATGGAACACTAGAGGCTAAACTTGGTGGTTCCCAGCCATCCCGTTAGGTTTTTATGTAGCTTTAGGGTTTAGTGGTAGTTTCCGCTAAACCACCAAGAGTTAAGCACTTTTAGCCGGGGATCTGGGAACAGCCCAGTACAGCGGAGCGGAGGGGAAGCTTCGCCATGAGTTGAGGACTGACGGCCGCATCGCTAGACATCACCAAAGGTGAGGATGCCGACACCAGACATAAACTCAGAGGACTACTACAAGGCAGGACCCAAGAGTCGCGCCGACGTCGACTTTTGTTTTAGATAGGATGATGGACCCAGTTTTCTTTTGGCTGGCCCCGGCTCGGGGTGGTTGGTTGGTTGGTTGGTTGGTTGGTTGGTTGGTTGGTTGGTTGGTTGGTTGGTTGGTTGGTTGGTTGGTTGGTTGGTTGGTTGGTTGGTTGGTGGTTGGTTGGTTGGTTGGTTGGTTGGTTGGTTGGTTGGTTGGTTGGTTGGTCGGCTGGGCGGCTGCATCCCCAGCATTCCCGGTTTATTGGCGTCAGTTCAGGGTTTGTGTGGTTCATTCAGGCTCGGCAAAGGGCTGATATCCAGACTTGCTTTTGGCTGGTTGGGGCTGATTTGCGCTAGGGGTGCGGCTCATTTTGCAGCAGCTGTTTTGCTGTTTTGGGCTGAATCCACCAAACCTTGCCCACAACTCGCGCAACCACATCCCTGAAGAACCCTAAAGCCACTGCTAACCCGACCCACAGTCAACCTTAAACCCCGTCCAACCGCATCGTGGATATCAGCCCTTTGCCGAGCCTAAATGAACCCCAAACAAACCCAAGACCCGCCCTCATTAGAACCTCAGCAAGCCCAAGACTCACCCCAAACCAGCCCCGAGCAACTCTGAACTGCCACAAATCAAAGCCATAGGCAGCCCTAGTCAGCGAGGCCGGTGCTGCTGGGGATGCGGCCAGCCAACCAGCCCAGCCAACCTCCTTACAGACACATGAGGAAGGCCTCGTGCTGAGCTGCACCTGGAGATTCATTCTCCATGAATTTCCTCGTAGTTCTCGGCTTTGACTTGCTTTTCGTAAATCTCGATGTTTTTTTCATGAAGTCGCCTAAAACTACTAAAGTTCCTATATTTTTATGAGATTTCAGAATTGGTACGGTTTCACGGTTTCCCCGCCCAGAATTACCCGCAAAACGCCCGCAAAAAGCCCGCAAACGCCCGCAAAACCCCGCAAACGCCCGCAAAACCCCGCAAACGCCCGCAAATCAGAAAAAGACGCTTTTTGGGCTCGGGGGTCGCGCAAAATTCATAGAAACCACTTAGAACGCCCAACACGCCCAAAACTACCAGGAAACTAAAACGCCTAGGAAAAGGCCGGAGAATGAATCTCCAGGCAGCTAATAAACAGCCGGGGCTAGCAAACAAAAACACCCCACCCAGATCTGATGATCTCCGTCTCCATCGGATCTCGACCGGTTTGGTGGGTTAGATTGGTTTTTCAGGAGGCCTTGATTTGGCTTGCTTTCGACCAGAAAAACATGAGAATCGTTCGCTTCCCTCGCCATCGACCACTGCGACTAGAATCCAGCCGTGGGCCCTGATCTCAATTGGATTGAGACTCCGATACCCCACCAGTTGCCAACATGTAGCCGGAGCCCTCTTGAGAAAAGCAACATCAACTTTTTCTCCCTAAAGGTCATGACCCCTCCAATGCAGACCCCCGGACCCTCCAAGGGAGAACCCCGACCCCTCAATGGCCCTCAACAACAACCCATTTGGAAGGCCCAAAAACAGTCAGGACCCTTAGGGCTACAAAAGCAAACAAAACAAAGCACTGCAAAAAGCAGGGTTTGGTGCGACGCATCCAGAGCATTTCATGCCCGAGGCAGGTGTTTGGAGCAGAAAGTTTTGAAAATACTCGTGAGCATGAGCAATGTGTCCGTGCGGGGCACTCCTCCAGTAATCAAACCATTTGCCAGTGCCTTTTGCGGCCTTTTGAAAGGCAATCTCCCAACAAGGTCCTTGGATGCATGTGGATGCGCAGTCCAAACTTTTAAAGACCGTCGAACCAGGTTTCTCATTTTTGCCTTCAGTCCACCATGCGCCAAACAACGATTTCCGCATGTTCCCCATGGCAGCAACGGGCATCCACATTTGGCAACGGACCTTAACGATATGATACTTTCCTCTTTAAAGACCTCGAGAATCCGAGTTCTGCTCCTTGCCCCTTGCTTGTCGTTGAGTACTTTCAGTCTGAATCTTTTCGAGCACGCACCTCCTTTGGTATTCTTGCATATGGGTGCGTCGTTTTTTGATGGTACCTTTTGTTGTTGGTTTGAAAGGGAAACCAAAAGGAAACCACGCGTACCGACCATTTGTTGGGGCCCCCTAACAAAGACAACCCCATACGAGGCATGTGATTTTTTATCCGGATCTGACACACGGTCACACCTCTTCTTTTTCATCCACCAACGAACCCGTCAACGTTTGACGCCCCTTTGTTTTCTCCGTAAAAACGCTTGCGCTTCCGCATGTCATGTTCAGACCCCCTTGCGCATGCAACCAACAGACACCTTGCCTGAGATTCCATCTCTTAGTTTTTCTTTGGCTGCAGGCTCCACCTGGTCGAATCTTTTGTGCATGCCTCAAACCAAATTTCCGATGAAGCTTGAAAGGGCCAGAACGACTTTTGGGGAGGTCTTGTTGTTTGGCAAACCGTTCATTGATTATGTTACCTCGTTGGGTGATTCTTTGCTTTGGGGACGTGGCTCGTGTTCGTGTTTGATTTTGTGGGTACTGCTTTTGGGGCTGTCGAAAAGGGACACCAATTCGGACATGGTGAAACAGAAGTTTACCGTGAGCCAGTCGCTCTTCCTAGACGATCTTCTTGGTGGTCGCAACCACAACCAGACGTGGCAGAAAACACCGCCAGGTGGTAGCCGAAAGCTGCCCCAAACCACCCCTTGCCGCCTATTTGCCCCCATAGCCTCTTGATGACTTGGATTGGCTTGGTGGTTGGGGATGGTTTTCCATCTCCTACAAGAACCAGGGATCCCCAAAGCTGCAGGGAATAAAGAAATATAATGACCCCTAAAAGCCCTCCCTATGGTTTCCTTTATTCGGGAATCCTCGAAAGCGGTTCAATCCCAACACCCGGTCTCGTTGTCATTCCCTACCTATCGCAGCAATCAACATGGAACCTCACCGGGGGTTCCTGGAGGACCATTTTTCCTTTTAAAAAGGGACCCCCTGTCAGGTTCCATGTCAATTGGTGGAAGGGTACCTAGCGCAGCAGCACGAAACACAACGCGCAGCGGAACGCGCGAGCCTTGGCTCCGCGTTTTTTCTTTCTTTTCTCCCCCAGGTTTTGGGGGTCGAGCGCAGTGCCGCGGACAGCGAGATCGCCAAGGCGTACAAGAAGCTGGCGCTGAAGTGCCCCAACACCAGCGTGTGGCTCGTGGACTTGTTTTTCGGGCGAATCGAATTGGGCCGCGGGAGTTGTCTCCAAATTAGTTGCCACAAAGGCCATAGAATGTTTCTAAGGGTTGATTCCCCATTCTTCCCAGCCACCGTTCTTTTCGAAAACCGGATGTTTCTCTGGGTTTCCAGAGGTTTTCTAGAAAGAAAGATCCCTGGAAAGAATGGGGAAGGTAGCACTAGAATGTTGGAAGGGTTGGATTTGTGCGCTACGTTATGAGCAAGATCCCCGAAAAAGTAACGGAAGGCATCCCAAAACTGAGTCCGATCAGAAATCCTGCATGGCAGTCGGGTGGGCCAGGTTGGAAAAGTGTTTAGTGGCCCCCAAAGTAGAGGCACCCCCGTTGCTAGCCGGTTATAGTTCAAGTATTTAAGCACTTACCAAGTTTGTCGAACATCCGAAAGTAATTATCTACCAGTCTTCTCACATTTGGCAGCCAAGTCTCGATGTCCACTTTGTCAGCATCCTGCGTGGGGAGCTTGTTTGCAACCATATCCCACCCTCGACTGTTCAAAGTAGTCGATTTTCCTCACTCAACCTCTTTGGTCACCGGAGCCGGGCATTAGACACCTTAGAAGCTAGGTCCGCCAGAAGTGCCCGTTTACCCCTTTTTTTGGGGAGGGTTCCCCTACTAAAATAGACTACAGAAAAATGGGTACCCTTATTCTAACCTCTCTACTGGAGGACCTAGTCTTTAGGTTGCATGGAAGGAGGCGTTTCTGATCAGCAGACTGGACGCAGTGTTGATTTGAAGGAAACCGAATCTTCGGCCTGGCACACTCCATGCCAACAGGTCGCCAATGTGGCATGGAACGTGGCTACGGCTTGGGATGGAATGACTTGGTGGTGTGGCTGATTCGCCAAACCGTGCTTAGATTGGAAAAGCTACGTATCACGGTGGGCCTATCAGTTGCAAGCACAACGAGCTATTGGCGTTTGGTCGAACAACAAATCGGCACTTAGCAACTTGCGTGGCTGCTGCGAAGTTGCGAGGAGTTGCACGGTGTTCTTGATTCTCCAGCTTTGATGCTGTTTCCATCCTGTTTCCGTATTCCAACATTGCATGAGTGCTTTGCATCGAAAGTTTGGGACATCCTGCTTGGACAAGTGACCGTGTAGTTTCCAGTCGCAGGTAGATGAGTTCCTGTGCCATAGCACAGTGGTTGGAGCTAGCTGGGAGAAATAGTCAGAGAGAGAGAGAGAGAAACAGAGAGGCTGCAGAGTTATCTTTTACATGAGGCTGAGTGTCTGACATATTTTTGTCCGATGGTTATGACTCAATGTGGGTTATCCCAACCACAACCCTATTCTGATTGTGGAAAATTGCCCCAATAGAGGTACACTCAATGGTTGTAAATCCCAACCACAAAACTCCATTCCGATTGAAAAAGAAAAGCCCCACAGGTACGTGGAAAATTGCCCCAATAGAGGTACCATCCGGACAAGAACCCCGACAACAAGGAGAAGGCCGAGGAGGATTTCAAGGCGCCTCGATGCGGCCAGAGCCTGTGAGTGAAAACATATTTCCTGTCTCGCCTGTATGGGTATGTGTGTTTGTTGAGGGTACTCATCTTGTGGAGTTTTTTTTGTTTTTTTTATTTTATTTATTTATTAACAAGATTAAAACTAAGAAAATAAGAAATATTGTTTTTTCCCCCAAAAAATAAAACAAAATAGGAAGTAACATAAAATATGGAAACCAAAAGTAAAGGAACACCACCAGTCGGGGGTCCCCTTATCTTCGCACATGCACAAATCCTCCAATTTCAAGGGCGTTTCTGTTTGAAGGGAGGATCCATTTTGAGAGACCCATCTTAGCGAGAAAGGTCAAGTGAGTAGCGACTGAGGGTGAATCATTCAGCCTTTGCCCCGTGCTTACGTGCTCAAACTTGTAGCTGGGTTTGTTCTGGAAGTGCCTGCTTTTGGCATGTTACCCACAGAGAGGTACTGACTATCCCCCCCCGAAAAGTAGCGGAAGGCATTTCAACACGGGACGTTCCCGATCTCCACATGGCGGTGCTTGGGTGGGTTAGCCAGGCACGTTTTCTGGTGCCCTAGGTCGTAGGCCACCTGTTTTGTCGTGGAGCTAAAGCCGTTGTGTCGCTATGCCACAAGTAGCACTGGGGTGTTCCCTTTGCATTCCCACTCCAGGCGTTGCCAACCGTTTGCGCTGTTTCTGGAAACAACAATCCCTGGTGCTGAAATCAGCTACTCATGGGCCACACTCCAAAGGACTACAGCGGCTTATGGAAGACCGGCTTTGCACCGTGTTTTTTTTTTCCCCGGGTGACCAAAATCTGGGATACATTTAGCGCCGCTGCATGCGTGGCGCATGTTTTTCTTCACAAGAACAAGGTCAAGTATAGTTGCGGCCTGCTGACAAAACAGTTTGCTGGATGAACACTTGCCCTGTCAGAAAATCACTGAAGCCTACGAAATCTTGCACGACGCGGAGAAGAGGAAAAACTACGATCAGTTGCTTGGCAGCACATCGCCGCGGGACCGTTGTTTTCCCGGTTTTCCAACCCGGGATTGTTTGTTAAGTTTGGGTTTTTGGCCTTCGATTCCGGGCTTGAGCATCTTCAATAATACTGATTGAATGCTGCACATAAATCATAATAGATCATCGACATCGTACAAAGATGTCTGAGGTGCGTGTAAGTAACTTGTATGACTGTATCGCTCATAGTAGGCATCCCACAAAACCTGGGTGTTGCTCACAAGGTCTTGATTTGGGAGTTTGAGTTTAGGGTTTTGGTTTAGGGTTTAGTTTAAGAGTTTTGGGGATTTATGTATTATTATTATTATTTTTTTTGGGGGGGGCGGGGGGGCAAGTTGAAGCCTTGGTTTCGGCATTGGATTTAGGCTTTGGCTTGGGGTTCAGGTTGAAGATTCTTTTTTTTTTGTTTGGGTTTTCTGGGCTTAGTTCCTTGTTAGATTCTTGGTGCGGGTTGTAAGAGTTCGAGTTCGGGAAGGCCGGTGGCAGATTTAGGAAGCTTTCATAGGGACGTTGAATGAAGGGGGCGACGACACGATAAGTTGCTCCACGCGTGTAGCAGTTCATGTGGGTGCCAGGATTTAACCACCAGGGGACCGCAGGTTTTAGTCCTTGCCATTTTGGATACCCATTTTTGACCCACGGCCAAATGAGGGTTGCAGCCTTAGACATTTCGACTACGGGACCTGAGCTTTAGGTCCTAGGCCGGCAGAGCCACGATGAATCGTGGCCTCCTAGACTACCAACGGCGTGTTTCGAACAAAGCGATCCCCGAAACTTCCCATCATGGGGTCTGAGGAGGGAGAGGGGAGGCCAAAGAAGGCTTAAGGCCTTGAGGCCTCCCCACCCCACCCCACCCCACCCCACCCCACCCCACCCCACCCCACCCCACCCCACCCCACCCCACCCCACCCCACCCCACCCCACCCCACCCCACCCCACCCCACCCCACCCCACCCCACCCCACCCCACCCCACCCCAAAAAATAGCAAAACATATCTTGAATGAAGTAAAATAAATTTCAGAACAACTTACCAAAATATAAAATATAGGTTTATAATTCAAATATTAAATAAGGTTAATACATTATTCATATTCATTAACCTTATCTAATTACTTGAAAATAATTTTACTTCATTGAAATATTATATAAGGTTAAGAAGTTATTCTACATATTAACCTTATACAATTTTATGTAAAATATTTATTAATAAAAATAATGTTAATTTTCTTCTGCCTGTTTCATTTCTAAATTTCTTTTATGCTTATGTGTTTTAAGATGTTGCATTTCTTTATACTAGTTTTACTAGTAAAACTTCCTTGAAAATATAATTAATATTCCTTGAAACTAAATCTAGAAATCCAAATCATAAATCTTACAATAAAATTAAATTGTAAGGTTTATGAGTTAATTTATAATTTCAGTTCAGGATAATAATTTAATTGATACATCTTACTTCTTTCATGCATCAATTTTAAAATAATATTAATATCTCTCACTGTATTTTTGACATTAAACTTTTTTCTGTCAATAAATAATTTGATATTTTCTTTAACATCCTCTCCTTTCTCTTGACTATAACACAACATCCATAATATATCATCAATCATTTCATATTTTTTCTTACTGATTTTAAGAAACTGTTTAACACAATCGTAAGGTGGTATTTTATTTATAGTTAGAAATATTAAAATATCATCTTCTACATTTCTATTATGTATTCTTTCTATTCCCAACAGACATTTGATTAAAAATTGATTATCTCTCCAATTTCTACAAATTTTACATAAATCTTCTTCACCCAAAGCATAATCAATAATATTATTTATTATTCCATTAGGTAAATTTAATTTATACAATTCCATATTTTCTTTTTTGAAGTGGCAACAGTCATAGCATTTCTTATTAATATACTTATTGATTTCAATACCGCTCATTTTCTCACTAATATATTAAGTCACTATTTCCTTAAGTCATCTACATATTTACCTATATCATCTTCATCTATATATTTGATATTGTCTTTTCCTATTATTGAATAAATATATTCCCAGAAAAACAATTTAACTAATAGACATACTTTATATTTAGTGTTGTAGTAATACCATATACTATATTCAGTTACTCTAAATTCGTTCAAGACTTCATTTATTTTATCTTTGTCTAATAAATGCCAGTCAATCCATTCAAACAAATAACGGTATTTTTTGACAAATGCTTTATATGGTTTAAATTGCGTTTATTCCTCCAAACCTCCTAATTAAATCTATATTACTAAAGAATTCATCAATTTCATGTTCAAATGACTTTCTGGAAATCTTCTGGTAAAAGTGTATAGGAAATCTTGCTTGGTGTCGCATAAAGAATTTTAACTGTAATTGAAACTTTGTATATCCCTTATCCTTATGTTCTTCAAGAAAAAAACTTTTCAAGGTCTCTTGTTATACAGCATTGATTGCAATATACATTATATTCACTTATTTTATTACATAGATTGTCGGGTAATAACTTATACAATGTTATATTAACATCATTCTTTGTATTTTTACAGCATTCGCACTTGTTATAGTTAAACAACATTTCACTATAATATATTGAGTCATTATTTCCTTAAGTCATTTTTAACGAAGTACATGAGATATTTTTTGTTTTTGTATTTCTATAAGTCTTTCATATCCTCTGACCACTCCGTCAAAACTAAACACATAATTTACGGAACTTTCACCTGCTAATTCACAAGTTTTTATTAATTCATTAAAATCTTTTTTCAACTGCGTCTCATCATGCTCTAATTCAAGGCATGATTTAAACCCTTCATAAAAGTCTTTCTTGTTAGTTTTAAAGTATTTAACATCTAGCAAAGCATATTTATCTCTTTCATCTTCATAGTGTTCTTTTACCTTTCTCATTTCTTTTATTAATTCTATTCGTTCTTTTATTTCTGCGTGTATCTTCATTACTACATTAAGTCATCATCTCTTTAATTCTCCAGTGATGATGACTATGTCATCATATTATTCTATTTTCAATAGAATAATGACCATATGCTAAACTATCACCTGTATTAGTCCAGTATCTTTTATTTTCATAACTATTCAAACTAATCTTTGTTGTTCTAATACTATAAGTTTTATGGTTTTTACTTCTAATACTATTGAATGATTTATGTATAACTTCATTAGTTTGTAAAACCTTATCATATTCTTTATATGTCAGTTGCCTCCTCACTATGTGCTTTGCTGTGCCCTTGCATTTCTTATGTTCTTTTTCTTCTCCATAGATTTGAAAAGCGTAACACTTAGGACGAAGTCCAATAAACCCTGTAATAATTTTGCTACTGCATTCATCCTTAAATTTACCCAACGTCTTTTTATTAGTAGTATCATAGCATTTATGATAAATAGGATAATCTGAAAAATCCATTTCATCTTTAATATCATGAAGATCTTTATAAATGTCATCAGTCTTAGTATGAAATACAAAACTATCAGTGTCAGTATAAACCATTCTAATATTATCTCCGTATTTAGGTTTCATAACATCATAATAAAACTTATACATATGTTGTTTACTCAAATCTAAAATACTCATTCCAATGAATATAGGTTTATCTAATTTCAATTGTGCTTTTTGTTTCTCAACTCCTACTAAATTATCGCTGATAATATGACTATGTTTAAATGATGGATTATTAACACATTTCATAAATCTTGTTTCATCACTCACTATTTCAAAATCTAAGTGTTTCCTTTTGTCTTCCATCGTTTTTCCGAACACGGCATTATTCATTAATTTGTAAGCATCTTTCTCAAAATCATTGTTGGCATTCTTTCTTTTCTCAGTGTTAAGTTCAATGTAAGGTTTTAATATCTCTTTCTGACTGAATTTTATTGCTCTGTGTATTTTCTTTAGTTTCAATCCGTGTTTTAAATAAAACTGTAAAGTTCTAATATGGACTACATACTTTTCTTTGTCTTTTAAATTCAATATTAATTTATTTGTTTTTTCATCTTTAGGTTTTTTCTTATTCAGTATTTCATAAATTTCAACTTGTTTATCTGATAACATATCTGCTTTAACATTCATAATTTCAGGTGCCATTGGATAGTCATTGTGTAAATCGTGTAGTTCTTTAGGGTATTCTAAATCAACTTCTAAGATGTATCCAGTATTACCATTAGCATAGTTTAAAATATCATCTTCTGTTATTTTAGTATCCCACTTTAAATTTTTGTATGGCAGTTTTTGTATCATTGCTAATCCATATAAGTTATTAGCATCAAAATAGTTAATATAACTACTTTCTTTGCTTTCATCAAAATCATCGCCCATATACATATTATTTGCCTCTACTTTCTTACAGGCAGTCTGTGTCATCCCACCACGAAGTCCGGTCTCTATCATTTCATACATGTCTTGGTCGTAAACTAAATCTATTTCAACACCAGTTAATTTTAACATAGCATCAAAAGCAAAATTAGGCAGTGTGTAATAATATACTGGATCTAAACCGTAATCTTGAATACACACATCTCTAAAATTTTCAAAAATATCAGTTAATAATAAAACATCTGTTTTCAAATACAAATCGTGATATTCACCCATGTTTTTAATCTTAAAGTGTTTCCATATTACTTTTGCTTTTTCATAGTCTTCATCCGTTATATTATCCTCACTTAATCTACTGTAAAACATATCTTTAGTTGGTAGACTTTCATCTTCAAACTTTTCTATTGAATTCATATAGTCATACGGATAAACTCCCTTCTCTGTTAATAAATCCAAACATTTTCACTTTTAATAATATCATTATTTTTACTAAATCTAAAATTGTTCTGCCAGTTGTCTTTTATTATCCATTTTCTTTTATCTTTATCATCTGTGTTATCATATTTTGTCAATGATACTAATTTATCTAAAGAAGCAGTTATAAAACTAAAACTGTCCTTAACACTTAAACAATCAAAACCGATATTA